GATAAACTTGATAAAGAAAAAATTCGAGAAATATTTGGTAAAAAAAATAGATGATTTTTATTAACTAAAAATTAAAATAAAATATGAAATTTAGGTCGTTTAAATGGTAAAATAACAGTTCAAGCAAATGAATTAAGAGCACAAGAAGTTAAATTAAAGACTTATGAAAAAGAACTGACACGAGTAAATATTATTTATTTAGATAAAATGATATATTTTTCTTTTTATAGAAACAAGAATTACGTATTCAATATGATCAATTAGTTCATAAAAGTCAATCACTTGAAAAAGAAATAAGAATAACAAAAGAACGAGTAGATCGAGCAGATACACTTGAAGATACAATGCGGTATCAAGAACGTGTTATTGAAAAACTTCAAGCAATGATTAGTAATTATATGAGACAAAAACGTTCAGATGGTAGATATATTATTAAAATTAATTTTATTAACAAAAAAATCTCGTATATATTTTATAGGAACAATTAATGATATTGATCGAACTTTATTAACTGAACACGCTGCACTTGGTGTAGAAACAAAAAGATTTCGAGTTAGTTTTCTATTGAAATTCTATCAATAAACGATTGAATATTTTGCAGTACCAAGGAGCACAACAGGGACAATCTACTGTATTGGTCAATAATAGTCAGCAAGATCTTGTAACACAAACTCAAGCTCGTCAAATAGAACTTGAACAACAAAATTTAGCATTTCAGAAAGAATTAGATGATTTAGGTGTTGAAGTAAGATTCTAAAATTTTTCTTTTATTATTATTATTATTTATATAATATTATTTCATTATTAGTTTGATGAAAAAGCTGAATTATGGAAAAGAGAGAAAGCTGAACTTCTTAATCATATTGATAGTATCGATAAACCAGTGAGATTATTTAGTTTCTTTTAATCTTATGTAAACTGTTAAATTTATTTTAGGAGCATGCGGATCCGGATGCACAATGAACACGAAACAACACACATACTCTAATATTTCTTTATTTATGTATTTAATAAAAATAAAATAAAAGATTTACACAATTTCTCATCCATACCCACGCGAACGCTAGAGTTATATAAAAATTCATTATTTTCGTAAAAAAAGTTTTTTCTATTCAAAAGATGACTCGTACCATTCGATTCCTCATTTAAATTTCAAGATAATAATGTTTTTTTCATATGAATCGCTCTTTATGATTTTCAATAAAGCGTAATTAAACATGTTCTTTTTGCCTACAACAATGGTTAAAAGACTATTCTTTGAAGCTGTTTTTGAAAGCATATTAAGACAACTGTGATAGTACTGTTATTAATTCCTCCAGCAAGATAAAATTTTATATATCAATAGCTTTGACTATTCATTCGACCATGAAGCGAGTTACAGCGACGAGTGTTATTTGTACTTTATTGTTGTATCCATATTCAAACTAATTATACACATTATATTAACAATTATAGTAAAAATTTCACTTATCTTCTTTTTACACATTACAGAATTTTAAATAAAGCTCTATATTTTTGATTTAATCTTATTTATGAAATTTAAGATGAAGAAAATAATAAGTATCGGAGCAATATTTAATGTGTTAATAATGATGATGCATGAAATGATTTTGAGTGTTGTTTTTATGATAAATTACATATTTGTAACATCAATGATCCTGAATTGATGAGAATTATGTACTCATATATGTTGTAGGCCAATCTAGTACTCAGGCCAATCTCGGACTGGCCTAGGTCATTCTAAGATCTCAGTTTCGACTAGTTCAAACTAGGATCAAGTCAAAATCTCAGATCAAAACTCAGTTTTGGCTCTGAAGATAATTTCAGATTTCGGTTTGCCTATTCGAAAACTATAGCCAAATGGGTATACTTCATACACAAACCATTTCATTCTGAGCAAGATTATCTATTTAAAAAGACATAAGCACTTTCATCCATGAATCCAGGTTTTGCAAAAAACTATTAATAACTTTGTTAGTAGACAATTTTGCTCAAAATGCAATGATTTGTGTATGAAGTATACCCATTTGGCTGTAGTTTTCGAATAAGTAAACCGAGATATGAAATTATCTTCAGGATCAAAAGTGAGTTTTGATATCAGATTTCGACTTAATTCTGGTTTGAGCCAGGCCAAACTGAGATCTTAGAATAGCCTAGACCAATCTAGGATTGGCCTGAATCCAGCAATGACCTACGACATATACGTAGATATCTGCTATGTATAAAGATTAAAGTCAAATGAACTAACGATGCCGACATCTAAAATGAGAATATGAGTCAGAGGAAAAAATGATTATAATGATAAACTATAAATTAATACATTCAATATCTTAATTCTTTTTGAATTAAAAGCGAATTTCATTTATAGATGGCACCAATATAGAGATCTACCATATCAACACACAAATTAATGGCGTTTAGTTACAACTATCTACAGAAAAATCGAAGATAGAAAGGCTATGAGAATGAGCTCATCGATTCATCATACTTATTTTTATATCAAATAATTTGAAGATTCTTTTTATTAAACATTTAATTGAAATATAATATCTATACTATTTATTTTAATTCAAATACCAAAGACTATGTTATGAGAAATTGATCAGACAGTCAGCAATCTCTCAATATTATATTGTTAGAAAATTGAATCGAAATCAACTAAAAATTCTTATCGATATATCGCATCAAATGCTGCACTTTTCTTTTGATGATAACTTTTGTTCTTTAATATAATCAAGCTGATTGCTTTTAAGATTCGACTAAAGTGTTGCTGACGTCAAACTTATGTGTACTATTACAACGAATTGAATACATAGATCTAATTATTACTTTTTATATACAGATATTTATTGAACTACTCCATTTATGTCCATACAAATACGAACATGTATCATAACAATCACAAGGTTTTTTTGTTTCTTTCTTCTACATATACACTTTTTGCACATCATTGACTACTATTGACAATCGTCACATGCCGATTTTTTTTATATTCTTCTTACCATTACTTACGTCATGAAAACATTTCGTGTATTCACGAGTAATATTTTATCTACAGAAAAAGAAAAAAAAACTAACGTATTATTTCTCTCTTCTTAAAAGAAACCACGTTGTTAAACATTAACAAATTCGATCAGTATGGCACGAAAATTCGATATTGACTATGAAACAACTATTTTCACACTTAAACCAGATAAGTTAGGTCCTAATAAAGCTACTTTATTACATGCTCGAACAACAAATAATAAGAATCAACATTTTTATAAAGCAATTCTTTATTTACATGGATATATTGATTATTATTTTCAGTAAGTAATCATAAGTCGATTGTTTTATGAATAGATTTTTTTTGTAAATATAGTGATCATGTTTGTATACGTTTTCTGGAACATGGATATGATTTTTATGCTCTTGATATGCGTAAATGTGGACGATCAATTATTTCACCTGAACAAGATAAATACATACATTATTGTACTGATCTTCATGAATATGATGAAGAAATTACACTTGCAATTGAACATATTATTAAAGAAGCAAAAGACAAAGAAAGAAAAATCCTACTTTTCGGACACTCAACCGGTAAAAAATAATAATAGAAATAAAAAATTTTGAATTTATCTTAAACATAGGAGGTCTTATTGCTACTTTATATGCATCATCTGGTTTAAGACATACTGATATAGATGCTGTTATACTTAATAGTCCTTATTTAACTGCAATGAAAACAACTTTTGTTGAAACAGCGCTTTTAAGTATTCTTATGAAACTACGTAAATCTCAAAATATAGATGCTGGTTGGTATGGAAAATCAATACATGTATCAGATAGAGGAGAATGGAATTTTGATTTAAATAAAATACCAATAGATAAATTTCCATTACATGGTACATTTTTATATGCTGTACATACAATTCAAGAAGATTTAGAAAAAAAACGAATTTCAATTTCATGTCCAGTATTATTTATGTGTTCAAATCGTTCGGTAAAAGCAGATAAGACATGGCGTGATGAATATGCTGAAGGTATTAAATGTTCAATTTTCTCTATCGAATAATTCATTGATATTTTATTTTAGCTGATATTATACTTGATGTTAAAACTATGAAAGCTATGGCTGCTACCATTGGTTCACAAGTAACAATTTATGAAATTGAAAATGCTAAACATGATATTTTCTTATCAAAACAAGCTGTTCGTGAACAAGCATTTGATTTAATGTTTCAATGGCTTAGACATTTAGAAGATAATTGGTTAATTAAAACAAACATTTAATAAACAATTTCTTATATAATTTGCAGTACATCTATCATCCATCACAATCTGATGTAAACCCGTGAATAATTAGTATTAAAATGTTGTGTTTGGGAAACAACAATAACTATGAACAATTATTATTTTGTTATTTTTATGTTCTTATTTATAATACTTTTTTTCTACGATCATCTGATCAGATATTAGTTTTCTCTATTAGAAATAGACTGAATATAATAAGATAATTATTAGAAAATGTACAGTTTTTGTTATAATATTAAGGACATTCTAACATATTCATAACATTCATAAGTTCAGTTACATAATAGACTGGATATATCTATAGAAGATTACTAAAATATAACTATATATGATGGGTATGGGTGTGTAGATGTAAGCGTTGCATGAGTAAAAGACCCACAGCTACACACATCCTCGATCATCGTTATTTAGTCATTAGGATGCCATTATTTGTTTCTCCCCTACATCTTAAAGGTTACAGCTGAAAGAGGCAGACATTTATTGCGTCAAAGGTTGAAAATTACATTCTTGGGAGCGAGTGTGAGTGTGGATATAATGCATCCAATATCACACCACCCCACACCCTCAGATTTACATCTGCTAGGGTATGGGTGAATTAAGGCTAAACATAATAGTCATATACACACTCACATCCACACTCTAATATCCAGACAGTCTTGAAACATTTTCTTCTACTAGGTTCTATAGTATCTTCTTTGAGATCTATGGTTCCGTAATGGGCGCGGACGTAAAGCCTTGAACAAGCCACATAGTATTTTCCAAATAAGCCATAGTATCCAGTTGACCCACAAGTTCCACTGCGAGGGCTGTGTGGCACAAATATTTATGCATGCCGTATCCACGATGGACTCGGGATCAATGATCGCCTGCCATATGTCTTGATAGTCGCTTGAGCGCATTAATAGACACCGCGCGTTTTGGAAAAGAAGATTGTTGATTGACTGACTTGGTGGATCCATTAGAGGTTTGTCAGCTGCCATCATCCATGCCGGATAACTCTGACAGTATTTCTTTTTCAGTGGGGAAATGCATTTCATTTCAATTTTTTCACCGGTTTTGCCTGCGTCGATGGCTCGAGCGAAAAGAACTGCACAATCTCTACAATCGTCCGAACGTGTACCCGATGGATGCTTGTCGGCAATAACCGAATGCGTATTTGAGATGCTACCAGGTATTTGATCGTATAGTCTATCGAGGACATGGTTTACGACCATCTCGATTGTAACACGATTGACCAGGCTTTTTTTTACAGAGGGGTACAACAAAGGATCAACCATCTTTTCGATTTTTAACTCCTTACCCCAGTAGACCCAGTATTGATCACCATCGAGATCAGAACCAGCTATTTCGCTGCAAACAGGCCGAGCTCCATGGATGGAAAAAACAATACAGTCACGGATGCAAGAACGAAGTTCTGGAACTGATACTGCCTGCAGTCGCCGAACGTCTCCTGGATGAAGACACGGATTCTTAGTGACCAAGACGGTACCTGAACAAGAAAATTTCATGTCTGCTATAAATTTAAACTAGTAAGTTAATATGTATATCAAAGTTCTAATTTTAACATTCTAAGCAGGATCAGTATGAAAAAGTTTGCATAAAAACAGTTTTCGCAAGAGATCGAAACGAATGTCTTGCTCAATCGCATTCAAGTGAACGAAGGGGAG